CAATCACATATCAGAAGGAGAGTTAAATGAAAAAGTTATTGGAACTTAAATTCAGTAACTGGCTCCTAGCTTCGTACAAATGCACACATTGCAGAAGCATTTAGCTAGCATCACTGCTAGCTAAAAAGATTCTTACTCAAAACTCTTAAAACTTTTACCTTTAGTAAATTGATCACAAAAATTACACAGCTAACAAGTTCAGATGATTTAAGTAATAAGTGTCTTATTCATAATTTTCATGATTATATTTATTTTCTGAGAATGTGACACCTACAAGCACCCACGCTATAACCTACTGAAACTTCATTTCTTACCTCTTTATCTTTTTTATTTCCATAGATAATTTGTGATCTCTCTTTAGAATCCTTTTTATGTACTTGATATCTGACATTCCAAATGTGAGCTAATATGATTAAACATTTGTAGACACTATATTTCTATCTCTATTTAAATTATAATTTTCCATCTGATTCTCATCTTCCTTCACTACAACTCAGAAACCCATATTTTATGTTCATTCTCAGTATTTACCTAAAATTGCTATTCATGCAAAAATTCCTGAACCATGCCCTCTCTTCACTTGCTCAAATCGTAATAACAGCCAAAGCTGAATAGACGTGTAAAAAAACACATCTTGCATCTTTGTAATCATTCAAAGACTACTAAGGTACTCCACACTATAAAAACTGTGAGGGATGATCATTTATTGAGATAAAGAACCACCACCTTTGAAACATGAATAAAAGGATGGCGAAGATTTTTGTCTCTTTGTCATGGAAATATTGCTAAATCTCTTCCACCATCATGAAGTAATGCATTAATGGACATGTGCAAGGAAGATTTTCCAATTTCTCTCTGCATTGCATATGTCTTCAGTATCATTAGTCCTTGAATGAATATTTAAGTTTGAAACAAAAGACTTCCTCACGGTTTTAACCTTGAAGTTATTCATTATCATTGTGCTGAAGGATATGCCTCTGAGAAACCAGTTCAGAGGAACTTTTGAGTTAAACGTGTTAGGAAAAAAAAAACTGGTAAAGGAAAGCTATTGTAGAAAAAAATCTTCTCCTTCACGTGTTCTATGGAGTAAGGAATACGTGGAAGTAAAGGAATGCTTGTAAGTATGCCTGAGACAATTCAAAGAAAGGAGAGTACGAGAACACAAGCTCCTTTCTGTCATTTAACATTTGACTAGGCAAAGGCCTTACTCCATCCAAAGTTCTTTATTGAAGTTACTCTTTAAGTCTAAGCCTAGACAACAAGAATCAACACTGAAAGAATTAAGGATCTATGTACACTCTGCACAGCTGAGTGATAAGCAGTTTAAGCTACTTCTCATATGCTCCGTTACCAGATTTGCTTTTGAAAAAGTTTATGTTGATCTATCATTTTTTTTTTTTCAAAGCCTAAATTACATTCATTTCCATGGTAATTAACAATCCTTCTGACTTCTATTTAAACAGGCATTACTTTAAACAATACATAATAACCTCTGCATCATTCATTCCTGAAAGCTGTAAAGTTTCTTATTCTGTCACTGAAGTTTGGCCAATTCCACGTACTATAAAAGAATTCCACATCTTCAACAATGTTTAGTTTTCAAGGAGGAGAGCCTACAACTTCATGTTGGTCTTTATCTTTAGATCCCTGCAAAATGATGCGTTTTGGTGCAAGCATGGCACCTTCTCCTTTTCCTACACATAGGAGTTATAAGTTTCTGTTCATAGTACAAACTTTTACATCCAAACATATGCTCTTCCACTCAGTTCTTATGTTTTACTTGAAAAGATTTATTAGCTATTACCTAATTTCAAAAATAGGAGAAACTCTTGCCACTTATAAATCTTCCTTTTTGTGTTTTGGCAGAAATAATGTTAACTGTGATGAAACTCAGTTGAACAATGCTATTCTTGTCAAAATTGTAAGAACACAAGACATTATGCTATAAATATTTCTCCAGACTTCTAAAGAAAGCATTGGATGTAAACACAGACTTTCTACACATCACCAAGCACATCACATTTTTTAAGTATTGAGATCACCTTCACACCCACGTTTCCCATTGAGCTCAGAATATGATGCTTAAATGTTTGGACATCAGTGATTAGCAGGAGTTTCTTTAGTCATTTAATTAAGTTGAGCTTCTTACACCCATCCCCCTCTAATCTGACCAGCAGACAAGAATCCTGATAGTCATTTAATCATCATCCTTTTTTTTTTTTTTTATTGTAAAATGTTAACTATTGCAGACTAACTTTCCCCCCTCCCCTCCCCCCCCATTTTAAATTTTGTCAAGACTAATTACACCAAAGCATTGAATATATTTGGTGCACATTTCCTTGACTTTATTGCTACACCTCTAAAAAATTTTGGTATGCTTATAAGACATCTCAGTTTTGGCTGACAAAAATAGCAGAATTATTACAATAATGAATGGTCTTAGGAGGATTTTCTACAAAACAAGTAAATTTATTCACTGAAAGATTAGTGTACATGTATACACTCCCTCCCTACCTCCCAAGGACACTCATGTACTGTTGTTAAGTCTGATATTCCAAGCCCAAGGACTCTTACAGGTTTCACCGGGAGCTACAACAAAGAAAACTGTTTCTGCTCCCAGTAAAATCTTTAGGTATAACATGAGATCATAACATGCCTGTTCTGATTTATTTTTTACTTCCTGCAGTGGCATAGATGTATTTTCCAACCCTTTGGTTAAAGAAGAGCTTACCATGAACTCCAGATCTAAACCTTGAAGTTTCAGATCTCAGTTATTTTTGTTTAAACTGGATTAGTGTACAGAATATCATGAAAGCACTACAGATTGATTTGGCCATGGACTGTCTCCCAGACCAGCCTCTCCTTGGAGAGTTATAGAACAATCCCATGCACAAATAAAATAGCTAGTGCTCACTTTGCTCCCTCATGTGGGAATCCTTAATATAAGCTCATTGCCTCTTCATGGGATGGCACATTAAGATGTTTGTTTTATTTCACACTTCCAGAAATACAATAGCAATGATGAATACAGAGGACAAAGGCCCTCTTGGATAATTCTCCAAACCTGAAGGCTATTGCTCCTTGCTGTCATGCAAAGACATTGTGTAAAATCTACAGCAGATAAGACGCATGCAAAAGTAATTCATGTGTATGACTGCTAAAACAAACTAGAATCTATAGTCACCATTAATAATGACAGCCACCACATGGAGCTGCCTTAGGCATCTCCTTTACAAAGGTCAGTCATAAAGCACATTCCAATTCACTGCATTTTACTTTTACTATTGCCTTCTAGCACAAATCCAATTACTTCTATTTTGTAAGTCAGTATCTTCATCAGCAACACACAGCAGAAAACAAAACATACTTAGGTGACACTTTCATAGCTTTAGGCAGATCTGATTAATGAGGCACAGCTGAAAGCAACTTTTTTTTTCCTGCACATCAAGAAGATTTCCCAAGTAGTGCAAAGTTCCTTTCTAACGTTGTTAATTAACATTTTAACCACCACCATGAACGCTGAAATCTAATGCACTTCTTAAGCTGCACTAGCCATCCATCCATGTCCTATTATCCCTGTATATATAATTACATATGATTTGATATTAACAGCCACAGATTCATCTAAATAGATTGGAAATGAAGCTCTTGCTACAGTACCAGCTACCTAGAAACATGCCCATTGACTTCACTGATGTAAGTAACAGAAACATGTCTGTTTTAAACACAGCTTCTTAACTTAAGAACATGATATTTGAGAACAGTTGAAATTTTAATCAATACTGAAAACATGATTTATATTGAAAACATTTCTTCTTGCTAGCAAAATCCCTCTCACACACAGTCATAAAAAGTTAAAACATCTATTGGTGTAAACAAGTTGTTAAACAAAGCTTCAGTTAAATAACAGGCAAGAAAAATCTTTCCAAGCACATTGAAATTACTGTCAATATTTAAAAGCTCTAATGCCAGTAAGTAACATCCTGTAGTTTTCTTTATCCCTGCCTATGCAGTACCAGATTAAAAGAAATATACCTGTTAATAGGTCTTGTTAACATGCTTGCTTTATAGTAAAACATTCATATAAGGTCTCTGAGAATAAAAACCAATCTGGATGGCAAAAGCAATAGTATCAAGAATGATAGCTCTAAGGGAGCCCTAACAGCACCTCCTGCTGAGTCAACGTTAAGATCATTTACAGTTCTTTGCATGTAGAGGTAGACAATCAAGACAATCAGTCACAACGCACAAAACTTACGCTTTAAGTTACATGACCAAACAACTTCTGTGCTTAAAAGATCAACTGCTTTTCCACAAAAGCAGAAAATAAAGATCTATTAAACATACTAAATAAGCACTTATACCAGCAAGTACCGTTTTGCATTATTTTCTTCATTTCTTTGGGTTACTTATTTACATAAGCTGATGCACAATGAGAATTATGAATCCCAATTCCCATAGCCTGTCATTAGATAATTAAAAAAAACAAACAAACAAAAAAAAACTTTTTCCCATGCAATTTGGAGGAAATTTGGAGGAATACTGGTTAACTTCTTCAATTTCAAAGTGTAATGGAAATAAACCATGCCTTGGTTAATCAATTTCTTCTTCTCTAACTTCAGACTTTTTCAGTCAAACTGAACAACTTTCAATTAATATATTTGTTTCTTGACCCTAGTCTTCTCCCAAGACCAGAACTACCAGTTGCAAACAGTACTCTTGAATTGTGAGCACTTCTCAAGCCAAGACAAATGACAAAGTAATAATGAGTCAGTAATGAATAACTACTGCCAAACAGAATATTATTCCCAAAATACAGTGCTACTGAACTGTATTCCCCCCCACCCCTCAAATTAGTGGTGTTTTTTTTTTTTTTTTTTTTTTTTTTTTTTTTAAAGCAAGAAACATTTTAAGATGATGTAAGGCAGCAGCAAACACAGTTGCTACAAAACCAAGAAAGATAGTGGTTATAATCCAGAAATAAAGAAGGAATCACTCACCCCATTCCAAGGATCAAGCACCAAGCACTCCAAAGGAGATGATTTCGAAGTAGAAATTTTTCCCAGCTGCCAGCCATTATATGAGGTTAGGAGGAATTGCTTCCACCTGTGTTCCCAGAGCTGGCTACACCCTTTCACCAGGTGCTTCCATCAGTGGTTCCAGCTGTGACCTAACAACTCCTATAGAGATGAAAAGGTCAAATTACCCAGGAAAGCATTTGTGCACTAACAAGTACTGACTTGCTCAGATAGTACAGTTTCAGTATTTTCTTCCAATCCTAACTTTAAACTCAGCCATATCACTCTTGTTAAAGCTCAACCATTCTGTGTAGACCAAGACACTGCACCATTCATTAATTATATATTAAAACTTATTAAAACTTGTCCAAGGGAATGTGGTTTTTTTTTTTTTTTTTTTTTTTGGATGGGAGCTTTAAAAACAGGTTTGAATTTCAATAGCAGTAGAAGTCAGAAGACAACTGAGATAAGCACTGCAAAGATTTTCATTAAAATATCTTAGAATGACCAATTGTTTTGCAACTTCGGGAAATCAAAAGAGACACCCTAATGTAGAAAATAAGAACTGCTAGAAAAACAAATATTTCAAATAGTATATTGAAAAAGAAACAAAATATTCTCTCACATTTAATTGGCATGTTCTGAAACAATATTATTTTCATATATTTTTGAGCAACACAGAGAATTTGAAGATTTATTTTATGAATAGTATTAATTAAATTACATGATGCAACAATTTCAAAGCCCGTTTATAAAATTTCCTCCACAAGAAATATTTTTGAAAAAGCATAACACAAACTTCAGCATAAGTGTCTATTAACATCAACACCAAATAATGTATTTTCCCTTGGAAGATGTTGTTACAGTAAGTGTACTTCATCAATAATGTACCATGAGAAATCTAGCGAGTCTTGGTTTATATTTTAAGTCTCATTTATTATTGGCAAGATCTGGGAGGAAAAAAAAAATTCTTGGAACTGCATACAGCTACATCTACAATAGATTTTACATTTATTCATATGACACAGCTTGTTTCACATATAAGATGATACAGGTTGTTGTTTTTATATCCAAGAACAGTTCAGAATTACTGGTTTTTCAGAATAAAATATGCCAAATATCTGTCACAATATATCAAAGGCATAGCTTGAGCAGTCTTTAGTTTTAGTGCTTCTATAAACAAACTGCAATTATAAAATAATTTACCTGTATCTTAAAATTCTGATTTAATTTTCATTTCATTGCATGTGATGCAAAAAAGTGAAGATTCAGACTTTTCTAGAACATGAAATACCTGCAAGGTACTTCTCAATTTCACAAGTACACTGTCTGATATTTTTGTTTGATATAATTATAGCTTGTGGTAGTTCTTAACTATTTCTGTTCATTAGAAAGTAAGATTTAATTCTATTCACCCATCAAGAAGCACACATTTTATTTGAACCAATTATATTCAGTATATCAAGTCTGAACTACCATTCTTCTCATTAGAGCAGAGATGATCAATGTGTTTGAGAATATTTTCTTCTCATATGTTGTACTGCAATGGAAAGCAGTGCAACAACAGTATAGTAGTAAACTCCTAGGCTACAGCAAGTAAGAATATGGTCAAATACAGCCGCTGTGGAAACAGAAACAAAGGAAATAATTTCCTTACCCTTGGAAGGCCTTGGGTACACAGGGATCACCAGTGAGATACCCTTGCCTCCACTGCCAACCCTTAAATGAGGGCTGGGAACAAGTGCATCCTGGCTCCATCCCTTCTGGTTGCTCAGGTTCGTTGCATGCACCTGAGCTTCCCTGGGTTGGCCCTGCCCTCCCACCAGGTGTTCAATCACTGCTTCAAGCTGTGACTTAGCATTTGCTAAGTCTACATATGCTAAAGATATCTTGTTCAATTTAACATTATAAAGTTGGTGAACTGCCAGCTACAAGCTTACACTGTGCTATTTTGCCTTTCCTTTTTTTTTTTTTTTCCAGAAGACAGATACACCTATCCTATTTTGCTCCTGATACTCAGTAACCATATTTCTAGCCAAACCTTTTTTGAAGCAAATTGCCTGTTTAAAATGCAGAAAAAGATTTTCATTCAGATATTGCCAATGCAGAAATAGCAAGAATTAGACTCTGTTCCACATCTAAAGCACCTGTTATGTCTCTGCATTTAGAAAAAAATATTCAGAGACTTTACATCATTATCCATGTATGTCAGACACATATCATTTACCTCATTGTACATTTTATGTTAAAGGCACTGGGTCTGGCTATTGACAGTCAACATAGAATCAAGCTTATCTAGCATTTGTTCTAGTATTACATTCAAGACAAAATGAAAGCAGGTGTTTCAAGGAAAAGCACTACATATACTGGATATGGGGTGAGAATGGTGTAATTTGTTCTCTGCAGTTCATTTGTGATACCAATTACCTGTTTTGCTGTAGAGGTTATATGTTATAGAAAATATTTTGGAAGACGTTTCAAACATTACATTTCTGTACAAATTTTAAGCTCTCTCCCATTCAGTTCTCCTGAGAAGCACTGATTTTTTGTTTACTATTGAGTATACACAACTCAGAGCTACATCTAAGGATTAATTAATGTTCATCCCAAGCTACAACAGTGTTACAATATCAGAAAGTAATGCCAATTAACTTACATTCATTAGAAATAAATAAAATCTGCATAAAGAAATTTAAAATAAATCCCCATAAAATTTCTGTTGCTGCTAACACTGTTTATGCCAAGTTCAGTAATTTCATAGAAAAAAGGTGCTAGGTAATGTGTAATTATATTCTGTGCATCTGTAGTTGATGCTCAAAATCGTGGTAGTTTGTTATACTGCATTTTTGCTTTGTATGTAATACAATTCAATGGAACAATTGAAATTAAAAATGTATATGCAATCCTTAAGTACTCAAAAGAGAGTCTTAACTAAAACAAATCATAGTGCTGAAAATTTAAAGAGTTGCAATTACAGTGCCTTATTACTACTTACATAATCCAAGGTTGTGAAATAGAACTACTGCAATCATTTTTAGACAGGCACAGAAAAGCCTAATGAGTGTTTTGAGGATGTAAAATCATGAGCAGTCATTAGGACTTTCATTTTTTTAACCCATTTTTAAGTTCAGACATCAGTTCTTCCATTTAGGTACCTATGCTTATTATACCTGGAGACTGCTGGTTCAGGTCTCCTTTAATTTGGTTCACATCTTGACCTCCCATTCCTGCAAAACCTCTGCAGAATTGTAAAATATCAGCTCACTGATCAATACTACACACAAGCTAGCTTCCATTCTGAAACTTTCTATTCCCAGTTCTGCTCTTCCTGTGCTCTTATTGCAACACAGGTAGGTCAGCCTGCCAGAGGGCCAGGGTAACTTTGGACTAGAAGAGCAATATACCTTTACTTTTGAGAGATTTTAGCTTTCACATAATGCTAGTTTCACAGGCAGGTAAAATAGAAAAGTTAAGTACTATAAACTATCAAAACACTACAGCTGGAATTTAACTGTTGAGATATCACATCCATGGCTCAGTTAGTCTTCTCAACTGTTTTAAAAATCAAAACCAAGAAATACATACTTTCTATAGCATGAATCACATAATCCTGAAGTATCTTAGAGGAAGATTAGAGTAAGATGAATCATACTGTAGAAGTCTCTATATTTTAGCTGTAAAGACAGCATAAAAGACTATTTCAAATAACAACTATTTCTCAAATGATACCTACTTCATGAACATCTTCAGTTGCATGAGATTATCCCAGTTCCAAAAATCCAAGCCTTCTTGTGATCCAGATTAATAATTTTCACTTTTAAAAAAAGGCACTGACTCCATAGCAATTTCAAGACTAAAGCACTTCACAGCTGTACAAAAGAGCAGATTTGTAGATTTGCATATTTCATCAAATGTTTTTTGACAGGCATAAAAATATTAACAGCATTTAGGATTTTTTTTTTTTTTCCCTGACAGTGACAAATTAATATTATAAATTTATAAAGCAATAGTAATAACAGCAAAAAGATAACGTTTCTTAACTAGAAAAAAAAAAAAAGCAAATAAACAGAAAACCTATTACGAAAACAAACAAACGCAATACCAATCAGCATTACCCAGATTGTGATATTGTTTGAACATGGAGGAATACAACATACCATCATAAATATTTCAAGTGTCTATTACTTCCTCATGCATAGAATGTGACCTCTAAAAGTCAACATAGAGTAGCTGAAAGACCCTTTGTTAAGGAATATTCCAGGTTACTTAAATCTGATATAAAATCACTACTATTTTTTTTTTTTTTTTTTTTTTTTTTTTGGAAGCTATTCCGTAAGTATCTCAGTAAGACACATGAAAAGTTATTGCAAAGGAAATTTTGTCTTTTTATAGCCTTGTCATCAAAATTTACTGGTATGTTAAAAATTCTAATTTGACAATAAGTTTTCTGCCTTTTTTACAGCATGTGATATACTATACAAATTACACTCATGGAGGATCTAGAAACACAATAATTAACAACTTGAAGATCTTCTAAATGCCAAAGCTATTTCATTAGCTGACCAAGAACATTAAAAAGTCATGAATTCTATTGGAGAACATAATCCCCAAGATTAAATTATTCTTGAAGTAAAGATTAAAACAATTTATAAGTTTATATCTAGTACAAAAAACAGTCATGGAAAAAAAGAGCAAGAAAAAAAAAATGATAACAGAAGTAGCCATAATAAAAATAAGAATATACCTCAGCACAATAATCAAACAGTTTCTGATACATACCTCCTTCATAGGCTGACATGTAAATTCAATATCAAAGCACTAGTAGAGCTTTTTTTTTTTTTAAATGCAAGAAACTGGAATCTAAAGTTTGGGTTTTTTAATCTTTTCGAAGAAGATTTTCCACTGACTCCTCATGTTAGGTGTTTATGCCTTGCCCAAAAACAAACAAACAAAACAAAAACATCCACAAAGAAAACAAATAATAATAATAAAGAGGAGCTGCATGCTTACCCTCCTGGAACAACCACTGAGTTCACTAGACAAATACAATAGTAGCAGACTAAAGCAGCTAGTTATTATTGTCAACTAACTGGTCTGTCAATTAGATGGGTAATAATTCAACCAGAAAATACCTGAAGTACTCCAAAAAAGAAGAATGTACAGAGGTAGGACTGTACAAGGGACCAAAACTAGACTGCATTTTTTTCTACACATATCTCATTATTGTCTTCATCCAGGTGCTTCTTTTTCTTGTTTGACTTTAACAAATCACTTCAGCTTGTTAGTAGATGCTCACATGAATAAAAACCTCTGCTTCTATTCAAGCATTACTTGAGCAATGACAAGTATTTACTGCTATAAAACTGCATGAACTACTTACAAGTGAAATTTGAGTTATTTCAAAGTTGATCACAGTTTACTTTTATCTCCTTATTAGTGGACAAATCAAGACAATCATATTGAAAATAAAATGATTTCGTTGTTAGGCTAGTTGATCTTTCTTAAGGAAATAAAATAATACAGAAATTAACAATATTATGAGTGACAGTCTTAAAATATAAGTACTATCTTTCCCCATCTACAGAAGTGAATTTAGCTTACCCCTCATTGTGTAGGATGCTAAAGGCATTCCTGAGCTATACCTGATTAATCTTCCTTGCACACAAGAAAGGAAGCTCCCCAAAAATCATTCCTACAAAGCAAGCATCTTTACAAACATTTTTATCACATTTTTAAACAGAGCACAGAATCCTATCAGCCGAACAGAAAGAATCCTCTGTTCTGAGAACACCTGTGTGATTTCTTATTAATTATTCATCACCTGGGACCAAATATGGCCTCTGTCTCCTCAAATAACAAATGCTGAAATTGTGATAACATATGGCTGCTTGTTTCTCCTAAGGAGTCATGCATATATAGAAAGATTGCCCGTCTCTGAGGTTATTTATTTTGTTCAGCCTGAAGAAGGGAGGCCTCATGGCAGCCTGCATCTCCTCACAGGGAGTTTGGGCTGGTGCTGAGCTCTGCTCTCAGGTGACAGCAAAAGGGCTGAAGGGAATTGCACGGAGCAGTGCCAGGGTACAGCACCAAGCCTGCTAGAATTCAATAAGCATTTGGATAACACCATCAAAAATATAGTTTAGTTTTTAGGTAATCCTCTCTGAAACCAGGAGTGAGACTTAAAGATTCATGTGGGCTCCTTCCACACTCTATTACCCTTCACCTACCTCAGAAGGAACTTTTAAAAAAGTTTTCCTCATCTTTCCCTCCCCTTTATTTTAAAACCCCAAACAAAAAAGGTATAATGAAATTTACAGTTACCATTACAGAATTTGTCACACTCCTTTCCACTTTTTTGAAAAGGAAATACTAAAATCTATGCTAGTGAGCTGGCTCATGAAATCATCTCACACCCATCTGAGGTGGAAAACTGATCATTCATCTGGAGAGCAAAGCAGACAGCTGGGCTGGGAACAACCCCAGCCATCCAATTTCAGCCTTTTTTGGCATCTGATTTTAATCTGCTTCTGCATATTTTTCCAATGCCTTACATGAACACATTATGGCCTCAGTAACTTTGGAATGATTCTCTCCCTTCAAAATAAAAAGCAGGGAGAGAAGGGAAACACTAATGGAAAACTTTTTATATCCTGCTGCATATTATAAATATTTCAAGTACTGGCTATGCTAGAAAGAATTCTCCATCTTTCAAAAATAAATTCACATACAGCTGTCCACTGCACATGTTGTTATTGTGTCCATTTGGGGTGGACCTTGCAATACATCTTTTTTGATTTCCACACAGCAGCAAGAAGTGGACAACTTTCTCCTTGGTTCCAGGAAGTACAGGAAACGAAATCCTGTTTGAATACTGCAGAGAATATAATTCTGTCTTCTGCTGCTTCTATCTCTAGAGGTGCACTTAATTTTGCCTTTTCTCTATGGATTCTATAGTGCACAAATACTGTGTATTCCAAGCAGGGACTTTTCTTGTTTAAGAGTCACAGCAACTCTCTGAGGTTGGTCAAAATTTTGTTCTTCTATCAATCAGTCTTTGTTTCCTTTCTCCCACCTTCACTAATATAATAAATGTCAGAAAATTTTTACCTTCAGCTATACTGAAGAGGAAAATCAGCAGCCATTGGGTTTATCTATGTTGATGTCCATTTTCACACTATATTTTCCATGCTCTGCAGACCACGGTGCTGTGAGAATGATATTGTTTCTCCTCCCACACTAGTGTTTGTAGCCATGATCACCAGAATAGGTACCACAGCTGTATAGAAAGCAAAGTAGATCAGCATTCTCTCACTACTGGTGACAACTGAAAGAATAATTATCTTAATATGCCCACTGTCAGAAACAAGCACACTCTGTAATAACTGTATGCATATAGTCTTGAAAAACATTTATAATTCACATAAAAAAACTTATGTTATGCTCTACAAGTTCATTTATTCATCTGAGGCATGTATGTGTATGTTCTACTTTTGACTTCTTAGTTCAAAGCTGCAATTACTTAGACATATACCTACAAATTATCACAATTCAATAACATCTTCTGAATGAACAAATGCTACAAATTAAGCACAAAATGACAAATTGTGTTTTGCATGGAAAACAGCAGAGTAGTAAGGTAAAAAGTCCTGAAATCTTAAAGATTATGTTTCCAGAATGAAAGCTATTTTGGATCTTTGATAGAAAATGTAAAAAGGGATTTAAAACAGCATAGTAGTAGGTAAGACAGCTAACAAGGTGTATTGAAGAGAATTGAAAGTCTGCCAGAGAGGAAAATTAAAACTCTTCAGTCTTGTTATTGCAACAATTAAAAGAGTTTTGAAAAGAGATGATTGTGAATTATTTTCCCCGATCCCTGAATGTATTCATTTCCCTCAAAGAGGCAACAGCCCAGCAGTGTTCCACTGCTCTGACCTGTACTGAGCTCACTGTATAAGTCAAACTGCATGTCCATTGGGCATTGTGGCACTGGACCACTTTAGTAAAAATAATAAGGATCTGTGACTAGTTCAGTTACGCAGCACCAAGTCTTTCAGCAATGAGAGAGAGTTACAGGAACGCTCAACAGAGGTGTGAATGCCTGACAATTTCCTGGGCTTAAATGTCAGAAAGAAGATCAGCATTTACCATGCTATGTGCACGAAGTACACGCACCCTGAATTTTGTTGTAGTAGCTGGAATATGTACAGGTATGCTAATTTAGACACTCTCCTCTGAAAGTTACCACTATACAGGACAGTTTGTATCATAAAATTTTCAGAAAGAAATTCAAGAAAGCTTAGAATAAACAGTCAAAATGAAATTTGCTTTCTGTTTATACACTGGTTACAGAATTTTGTTCATAGTACATTGTGCATTTTTTCCTACTGTCTCTGCAAATATTTGTCACTAAGTACAGCAGTTCATTCATTTTCATTATATTCAGACCTCCAATCATCACCACACCTATCTAATCTGATTAACATAAAGTAATAAATGTCATGGCCATTGAACATGAGTAAATGCCATAACAGATGAACAGCATTACTTGACAAATAAGCATATTTAAGAAAAAGAAATTAATCCATTCTTCTTTTCTACGATAAGCTTTTTAATATCTCATGTTCAAATACTCACTGTACAAAACAAGAAGGGATAAATGATCCATATGATATCTAAGAAACTCCATTCAGAACTTCTTATAATACAACAGTCTTAAAATTACACATAAAAATAGTTATATAAAGCACACAGAATCATAGAACTGTAGAATATCCCAAGTTGGAAGGGAACCACAAGTAATTCGTTGACGCTTGATGAACGTCTATGAAGACCAAACAGGGTGGTGACTATGTTGCAAAACAGAGCTTTGTTGCTGAGAATTGGTGATAGTTTCCATGGAAATAAATAGGAGGCATTACTTTTTGAGGGGCATACATATAAATAGATGTATTTGGAACAAACTGGTGTCAGATAAACCAAGCTGTATGCTATATGTATGTACTAGCATAACTCTTGTTCTAACTAAAGAAGGAAAAAAAATCCCACTGATCTATCCAGACTACCTGAGAACAATGTACAAAATAGATACACATAAAGAATATTCCTGTATGTGATTTCAAAAGAGCATTAAAATTTTGAATCATATTACAAAACTAATGGCATAACACTGAAAATGCTTACTACTGAAGATGATGGAATGTTAAGCAGTGCTGTAAGACTGGACAATGAAAACAGTTTTGTATTATTAACTTTATCTGAATGAAATTAATTCATTGGATAATTGCCATCTTTTCCTACACTTTAGCTGAAAGACACCCACAAATGACCAGCTGTTTATTTGAAATCTTCCTATGTTTGCTGAAACACGGTCATAGATTAAAAAACACAAACAAAAACACAAACACAACAAAAACTCCGACCTGCACAACCAAACTAAGGTCAATACAGCATACAAGACTTAAGTTCCAGCACCAGATAACATAGACTCAAATTCTGTTATATACACATTTTAACTGACCCAGAACAAGAATCAAAATTCTATTCTGCACAGCTGATGCAATGTAATATTCTTTTACTACCAAGAAATATGTGTGAATGCAAAAAAGTACTAGATGACTTATTAATATTGTTCCTTTAACATTTAGACTTTTATGAGGACATCCAGAATTTTCAATAGAAGTATAATAAAAAGTTTTATATTTGGCATATTGCAGAACAGCAAATGTAATAGGCTAACCTTAAGCAAAGATGAAGGGTGCTGATATTCCAATTTCAACTGCTCAGACCTCCTACTATTGTTACTGGCAAATATTAACTCTCAGGGAGGATGCAGCTTAACAGAACTCTTTTTTTTTTTTTCTTCTTTCCAATTGAAAACCTTTTGCCAAAGGGTATTTCAGGTTTTGACTATTCAGGTGACTATCCATGGTCAAGTAATGCTCAAATTCAATGAATTCAGCAAAAACGGTATTCCTATTATCACTTCAATTATTAAGATTGACTACATGCCATTGCTAGACACACAGCACTGTTAGAGTGCTTAATGTTTGGAATGACATAAGAATGGGACCAGCAGAAGTGAGTGCCAAAATCACACCCTGACAGCTAAGAAGTTAATCCAGATAGATTCCTCTCCTCTCCTCTCCTCTCCTCTCCTCTCCTCTCCTCTCCTCTCCTCTCCTCTCCTCTCCTCTCCTCTCCTCTCTTCTTCCTTTTTTTTTTTTTTTTTTTCTTTCTAGAATGTGTATCCACCAAAAAACTTCTCTAATTTGTTAAGCATCTCGGCTTCTACTAAAATAAGTAGCATTTCTTGCAGCCGTGGGTCTGGGGCCAAGCTCTACTTAAGTTAATAAGTTCTTTTTAAACAATCTTGATAAAAATATAGATAAAAATGACTGTTACTGCTAATTTAACATTTATATCAGTGTTTAGCAAGGAAAAAAAAAAAAAAAGGGAAATGCAGGGAAAAAACACAACACTGAATTTTATTTATGAGTGAATATAAGGTGAAAGAAAAACAACCCTGCAGCTTTTGGATTATGCTGTTATTCTGTATTAAGCAAATCAAGACCTAAAATGAAAAAAAATATAAGAAACAACCTCTCTGATGGCTGACATAGGTAAGCGACCATATACTGTGAATATAAATATATGATTATCCTCTGTTCACATTTTCTCAGTTTTCAGTTTTGGAGAATTTTTATTATTATTATTATTTTATATGAACAGAACAACTAATTAATGAAACTGGTTCC